CCGGCTGTGGATATAGCTATAGGGACCCATTTGCTGTCTAGGAATGGGACCCAAATCCCAGAAAGATATACTGGTTGTCATTATATGTTGGGAACAGACCTGTTGACTTAAGGATTTGCCCTTCATAAAGTTAAGCCTGAGCTTATGTTTCTGCAGGATCATGGCCCAGATTTCTCTCATGTAAGCGTGAATCTGTAGTGTACACTACAACATGTGAATGCATTGCTGCTGTTGTCCTGTGAGGCTGTGTTCAGGATGTCACCGATGTACAGCACTCAGTTGTAGGCCACTGTTACTGATCTCTATTTGCATTTTCGATTATTCATCTATGGTGAACTGTGTTGTAAGTTTACGGAGAGGACCCCCAAGAGAAATATGGTGCTTCCAAATTCTTTTGGGTCATTGTTGCCTAGAGGTAACTTCCCCTCCCCTTCCTCCCAGACAATGCATCTGTTTGTATTTTAGCTTCCAGAAGTTACCGAGAGAATACATTTGTATGGTGTTGATGTGGTTTGCTAATTCCTTGCCTTCCTAGCTAGCCTTTACTCTTGCCTTTTCCTTACCCATGCCCCTTATTGCCATCTCTTCAATGCTCTTGTATTGGGTATAATGTGTCCTTATCTTCTCCCCAGTACGCCTCTGTGCTTCAGACCATCTAAATAGGCCTTATGAAGTGGAGCAGGCCACGCACTGTACCATTCCATCTCTTGAAGTTTTTATACTGTATTCCTGGCTGGCTAGTAAGCAGTGCTGTAGTTTACTCACAAAGCTTGCATTTTAAGTACAATTTCTTCTGTGCTAGATACATCCAGAAACATACGATATATCAGAAAATGGGAAGGAATACAGACTGGCAGTAGAAAGTAGCATTCCTATTCCTTGTCCTGAGTTTAGCCAGCTTGAAAGTAACTGCAAAATCTCATTAACATTACATACTATTGATGAAGGTAAGTATTATCCTGATTTTTCTCGCATTTTGTATCTTTAATGTGTTTTTCTAA